CATCCCTCCATTTCCCTGGACCTCCAAAGGTGACCAACACGAGGCTGATTGGAGGAGGTGGTGCCAGGCAAGCTGGTTTGGCAGAGGATTTGGCAGAGTTTTTGTAAGACACCCCTGGCACTTTCCCATGGTCAGGGTGGGCTTTGGGAATGTCTCGTGTCTCTCCGTGGTGGGACAGCAGGGGAAACTCGGTGGGATGTGCCACCCCAGAACCTGCTGGGATGGTCTTCATCATCTGCAACACAGGGACCAAAGAGCCCAAAGGCTCCAAGGGCACTGGCATGGGAGATTCCAGCAGCCAGCCAGACCCTCCCCAAGATTTGGGGGAAGTGGGAAACAAGGAAGGATGAATTAAAACCAGAGGTCAACATTGCAATGCAAGACAGCTTTTATTGCAGTTGGAAGGGAGGAGGGAGCTGGGACAAGAGCAGGGCCCTGGCCAAGGGCAGCCCTGTCTCCTGGCAGCGGGCAGAGCTCCGAGGAGCCCCAGCCGGGCACAGGAGCAGGAGCCAGAGCGAGTGTCTGTCAGCAGGGCCAGCGAGGCTCTGGGGGGGCTCAGGCGGGGCAGCAGGAAGGCAGAGCTGGTTCCCAGGCAGGCACGAGGCGTCCAGGCTCTGGAGCCAGTGATGCTGAAGGGCTGTTTCTCCACAGAGGGTCGTGTCGGGATGTGCCAGTGGCTCTTCTGGAGCTCTCCTGGCTCCGTGGCCGGGCTCGGGCTGGGGCTTAGCAGGGCCCGCAGTTGCCATTCAGGTACCTGTGGCCACGGCGCCAGCCCCCGTACCCACAGCTGCCATAGCCCCCAAGGCCTCCATAGCCATAACCCCCATAGCCCCCAAGGCCTCCATAGCCCCAACCCCCATAACCCCCAAGGCCTCCATAGCCCCAGCCCCCATAACCATAACCCCCATAACCCCCGTAGCCTCCGTAGCCCCCACGGCCTCCAAAAGTGCCACCGTAGCCCCCTCCAACGCCGGGGGCTCCTGCTGAGCCAACCACGCTCTGCTGGGGGAAGGAGCTGAGGATGGGCCCGGGGAAGGTGACCGCTGAGGCCGGGGGCTGGATCACCACCGTGGAGTCGGGGCACTGCCGCACACAGGGCTCGTTGCACGTGTCAGCCAGAGGGGCCGGGGTGGCCACCCCACAGGAGGGGACACACAGGCTGCCACAGGACATGGTCACACAGACAAGGAGTTCTGGAAAACAGGGATTAGGCCAAGGTGTGAGGAAGGGGTTGCACAGAAGGAGGAAGGAGAGATCCCCAAGAGGTTTGCGAGAGCTGGACTTACCTGGTTGCTGAGGAGAGTCAAGTGGAGGGATGTGGATAGAGGTCTGCAGGGAGCTCAGCTCTTTTATACCTGTCCCAGGGTGCCCCAGGCATCATCCAGGGGGTGGGGGCCCAAACCCCAGGTAATTAGGAATTCAAGCTCCCAAGCTTCCTGACACACATGATGTTATATATCATCCCCTCATTGTGGGCACCTGTGTTCAAACATGCCCTGGACAAGAAGCAGGTGATGGGAGGGACAGACCATGGCACATCATCACATGAAAGACAAGGTGCTGCAGTAACTCACAGCCCCAATAAACCCTGATTTGTCCCCAGTCCAACACTTTGCTGACACTGAACAATCCTGGGCATCCTGTGGGACATTGCAGTGCCCAGGGACAGCACACTGAGCCACAGCCCAGCCCCTCATGTGAGCCCTCAGTGCCCAGCCAGCCTGTGCCCACGGGACCACGGGCACGTGCAGGGGCCTAAAAGATGGCAGGAAATTGCAGCTTTCCATGTGCACGACATGAGCCGTTCAGTTGTGTTGTTCACTGACTTTAAATGGATTTCTGCCATGATGGAGAAACTCAAATTGGATCCAACCCTGTGCCATGTGGTCTGGGATGACCCTCCTTGAGCAGGGAGGTGGGACCAGATGACCCACTGTGGTCCCTTCCAGTGAGTCTGTGGTCCTGCCACCTCCCCTGCCCCTGCCAGGCCGGGGCCACTTGGGAATTTGGGATCTGCCCTGGGTGAGTGGGATGGCTTCTTCCTCCTGCTTACCAGCTTGTAAAAGGGAATTAATGACAGATGTCTTGGCTGTGCCAAGGATTTCAAAGAGTTTCAGTGTGATGCCCAAAACTCTTGAGCGTAAGCAAAGCGGGGGATTAGGGACAGATCGGGCTTTATTGGTGCTGTGAGCTCAGCTACAGCAACAAATTATCTTTCATGTAGTGATTTGTCATGATCTGTCCCTCTCATTAGCTGTTTGCTCTCCAGGGTACGTTTACTCGTTAGTAAACCCAATTAGGATGGATATAATTGCCCTATATTGCCATTGTGTCATGAGGTTTGTCCGCTTGATTTTATGATTAGCTGGGGCTTCTGCCAACACCCCCTGGCCGATGCCTCAGGCACTCCTGGACATGTATAAAAGAGCTGAGGGGTTCCCAGACCTCTATCCAGCTTCTCCACTTGACTCTCCTCATCAACCGTCCTGGTAAGTCCATGTCTTACCTCCAGCTTTCTTTCCTCGTCCGTGGCTTTCTCAAGGGATCTTTGGCTCTGTGTTCCACCATTTCACAGTGCTGGGACTGTACCAGTGGACTCAAGTCCTTTGGGAGCTTGGGGATTTTCCATCTGCTTTGGAAATGCAGGAGCTTTTCCCCACTCCTGTGGGCAGGGATCATGAGGGAACAAGGGATCTAAACAGGTGTTTCTCCTCTGGGGAAAGGTTCCAGGTGGGACAGAGCCAGGAGGGATCTGGGATCTGAGATCACAGAATTACAGAATGGGCTGAGTTGGAAGGGAACCACAAGGATCATCCAGTCCAACCCTCAGCCCTGCACAGGCCCATCCCCAAGAGTCCCCCATGCACCTGAGAGATCCAAACCCTCCTGGAGCTCTGACAGCCTTGGTGCTGTGCCCACTGCCCTGGGGAGCCTGGTCAGTGTCCAACCACCCTCTGGGAGAAGAACCTTCTCCTGAGATCCAACCTGACCCTGCCCTGGCACAGCTCCAGCCATTCCCTGGCTGCTGTCCCTGGTCCCCTCAGAGCAGAGCTCAGTCCCTGCCCCTCCTCTGCCCCTGCCCAGGAAGGTGGAACTGCAGTGAGGTCTGCCCTCAGTCTCCTCTTCTCCAGCTGAACACATCCAGTGCCCTCAGTGCCCTCCCACGGCTTCAAATCAAGGCCCTTCCCCATATTTGCTGCCTCCTTTGGACACTCTCTAATGGCTTCACATTCTCTCCTGTTTTGCAGCTTTACCTCCTGAACCGAAGCATGTCCTGTGGCAGCCTGTGTGTCCCCTCCTGTGGGGTGGCCACCCCGGCCCCTCTGGCTGACACGTGCAACGAGCCCTGCGTGCGGCAGTGCCCCGACTCCACGGTGGTGATCCAGCCCCCGGCCTCAGTGGTCACCTTCCCCGGGCCCATCCTCAGCTCCTTCCCCCAGCAGAGCGTGGTTGGCTCAGCAGGAGCCCCCGGCGTTGGAGGGGGCTACGGTGGCACTTTTGGAGGCCGTGGGGGCTATGGAGGCTACGGGGGCTCTGGGGGTTATGGTTATGGGGGCTATGGGGGTTAATGGGGGTTATGGCAGCTGTGGATATGGGGGTTGGGGCCGTGGCTGGGGCCGTGGCAGCTGTGGCTCCTGCTAAACCCCAAACATGCAGGGAGGGCAGTGCTGCCTCTGCCCTGGGGCTCCACAACCAGCCCCTCTTGGCTTCTCCCACCTGAGCCAGGATGAAGCTTCCAGCCCCTCTTTAGGCTGGAGCAGCAGGTCCCTGTTCTTTGCACAAGGTGACCCTGCAGCCCCTCAGCTGGTGGCTTTGGGGTTTCCAGCACTGCCCACAAAAGCTCCCCTCTCCCTGCCACACAACAAAGCTCTTCTGACCCTGGGATGAGACTCTGCCCTGCTCTGCCCAGCTCAGAGACCCCCAGCCTGCAAGAGGAAGGGAGAATCTTTGGGGTGGAGCCCTGGGTTGGGCCTTGCTGCTGCCTTAGGACTTTTGTGTTTCCAGTCCCTTGTTCCTGTGCTGGTTTGTGTCTTGTTGACACTGTCTGTTGCATTTTCCATCCACATTAAAGAATCTGCATTGCATGAATAATTTTTTTTGTTATTAATTTGTTCTTCATCCGGGCTGGAATTATGTCTCTAACTGAGCAATGATATGAAAAGTTAGATCATAGAATTACAGGATGGTTTGGGTTGGAAGGGACCTTAAAGATCATCTTGTTCCAGTCTTCCTGCTGTGGGCAGGGACACCTTCCACTAGATGGGGCTCCTCTGGGCAATCTGTGCCAGGGCTTCATAGGGAACAATTTCTTCCCAATATCCCATCTAAACCTCTTCTCTGTCAGTTTGAACCATCCCCCTTGTCCTGCCACTCCAGACCCTTGTCCAAAGTCTCTCCCCACATTCCTTGTAGCCCCTTCAGATCCTGGAAGGCCACAACTGGCTCACCTTGGGGCCTTCTAATCTCCAGGCTGAACAATCCCAATTTTCCCAGCCTTTCCTGCCAGCAGAGCTGCTCCATCCCCCTGCTCAGCCCCTCTGGAGTGGCTCCAGCAGCTCCAGGTGCTCCCAGGGCTGTTCCCCAGCTCTGCTGGGGGGTCTCAGCTGAGGGGGCAGAGGGGCACAGTCCCCCCCTGCCCATACTGGGGGATCAGCCCAGGGCACGGGGGGCTCTGGGCTGGGTCATGTCCAGCCTCTCCCCCAGCAGCTCCTCCAAGTCCTTCTCCCAACAATGCCACCATGTTCCTGAGAGTGTTGTCCAAATGTTCCTTGAGTTCTGGCATATTTGGGGCCGTGACCAGTGCCCCGGGGAGCCTATTCCAGTGCCCAACCACCCTCTGGGGGAAGAGCCTGTCCCTAATATCCACCCAAACCTCCCCTTCTGTTGTGGGGCACAGAAAACCAGCAGACATCTTTTGGTACAGAACATTTATTTGGAAAGAGGCAGCTTTCCTACAAATGTGGAACCAAACTGTACAGAACACAAAGATCACCTTTGCAGGGAGGCTCTGCTCAGTCAGCAGCATCCAGGTGGTGCAGTCTGTGCAAAAGGGGCTCTCCCCTGCTGGCAGTGCTGCCCTGGGCAGCGCCGGGCACCCGGAGTCGCCTCCCTACGTTCAGTGCCCACAAAGCAACGGGAATAAGGCAAAGCACGACGGAAGCAACGACTACGCTGGAAACGTGGAGAGCAGCTCTAAGCTAAAGGCAGAACGAGACGGGGCCCGCGTGAGCCCGTCCCGGGGCCGGAGCCAGAGCACACCGGGGGTGCCTCCCAGCTCCCCCCCAAACTTCCCTCCGGCCTTTCCTCTGCCGCCCCTTCCACGGTCAGTGAGTCCAGCGCTTCCCGGAGCGGTAGGAATTGCAGGGATGAGTCCACTGGGAGGAGTAGGTGTAGGAGTACTTCGGGGCACAGCGGGGCTC